CAGGTTGGACTTTGGTGTACAGCCGGCTCCGGAACAGCGCCAAGGGGATTTATTGGGGGTGGAGCATCCCCCAGGAGCAGCCGCAGCAGCGGGAGGAGGGGTTGGGGCATCGCTGTCACTGCCAGCCCTCGGAGCTCCGGGGGAAGGGATGCTCCGGGAGAAGGGGATGACCAAGGGGAAGGGATTCCCCAGGGGAAAGGATGCTTTGGGTGGAGGGATGCCCTGAGCAGGGGATGCCCCGAGGGAAGGGATGTCCCGGGGAGAGGGATACCCAGAGGGAAGGGATGCTCTGGGGGAAGGAATGTCCATGGGGTAGGGGATGCCCCGGAAGAAGGGGATGCCCAGGGGGAAGGGATGTCCTGGGGGAAGGGGTACCCAGAGGAAGGGATGCCCCGAGGGAAGGGATGCTCCGGGAGAAGAGGATGCCCTTGGGGAAGGGATGCTCTGGGGGAAGGGGAACCCAGAGGGTGGGGATGCCCCGGGGAGAGGGATGCCCAGGGCAGGGGATGCCCTGGAGGAAGGGATGCCCCGGGGAAAGGGGTACCCAGAGGGAGGGGATGCCCTGGAGGAAGGGATGCCTCGAGGGAACAGATTCATCGGGTGAAGGGATTCCCCGGGGAAAAGGATGCTCTGGGGGGAGGGATGCCCAGGGCAGGGGATGCCCCGAGGGAAGGGATGCTCTGGAGGAAGGGATTCCCCGGGGGAAGGGACGTCCCGGCAGAAGGGGTACCCAGAGGAAAGGGATGTCCYGGAGGAAGGGATTCCCTGAGAAAAGGGATACCCCGAGGGAAGGAGTACCCAGAGGGAGGGGATGCCCCTGGTCAGGAATGCCCGGGGAGAGGGATACCCCTGGTAAGGGATGCCCCGAGGAAGGGATGCCCCTGGTAAGGGATGCCCCTGGTAAGGGATGCCCCTGGTAAAGGATGCCCCGACTCACTGACTCGGGAGTTGGGCGGGAGGTGCTCGGCTCTCTCCTGCTCGTTGATGCGCTGCCAGCGGTAGGAGATGGGGGCAGTGCCCGAGGCGGAGCGGCACTGCAGGGACAGCTCCTTCCCCTCCAGCAGCTCCCCTTCCAGCCAGCACTTGGGCTTGGAGGGCTTCTCTGCAAGGAGCAGAAGRCAGGGCATGCAAACACAGCCGAGAGTGGAAACGCTTCCTTTGGGGTTT